TATCATTAAAATCAAGTTTCAAAAGCCCTGCAGAAAAAAAACAAACAGGAATGAGAACACTCTTCAGCTGACTCTTCGGTAACTATCTAAATGCGATCAACAGACCAGGCCTTTGATGCTTTTCTCGTAAATAATTCAGTACACTTAAAAATAAGCAAATATATACATTCTAGGCGACTTCTTTGGAATGAAGCAAGTGATCGAGATTTTACCTTCCTCCAGGTCATCCATATCTGTACAACGCGCGTCGTATAAAGCGACCACGAGTTCGTAACATGATCCGAGAGGAACTGGCACTAGTACAACAAAATGGCGGCTGAAAGCCACGGAGAGAAAAAGGGATTATCTGGCCTTTTTTACCCTCCAAATGGGTTAAATTTTCAGTTTTGCTAATTAAATTACTTTTTTTTGTTGATCCGAGTTGATCCGAGTCCACTTTTATTTTATTTTTATTCCTTTTTATTCGATCCGAGTCGATCCGAGTTGATCCGACCCGGACAAGCGGTCCGAGTTGATCCGGTCCAACTTTTTGTACCTGCCTGTGAAGAAGGTCATTCAACAATTTTATTAGCTCATTACTTTTTTTTGGTTTTAATTGAGGACAAAGTTGTTTAGCGACGTTGGTTACGCCTCAAAATTGCACAAAAATGCTTACTTTTGTTGTACAATTTGCATATTTTAGCATCAGACCAAAAAAAGGTTTTGTTTTACGAGCAACCTATGAGCAACTTTAGTAACAAAAAGCAACTTTTGATGGTTTTTTGAGCACCTTTTGGGAAACTTTTTGGAAAATCTCGAGCAACTTGTGGAAAGCCCTAATAAGGTCAAAGATTTAAAATAACCCACGACAATTTGACTGTTTTGTCAAATATGAATAATCAGAATCTTATACTTATTTATATTTGACAAAACAGAGTCAAATTGTCGGAAACGCAACTGTACATGTACGCAACACGACACTTAGGCAAACGATGAAATCTGAGCTTTGAACCTTCAATCTTCGCTTCTATCGTGCCACACTATTCAGAAAAGCTCTTAACAACTGCAGCAATCTATCTATTAAATAAGAAGCTTACAACAAAGCCTGAATGTGCAATTTAACCAAAACATTAGTTCACCGTAAAGTTCCAGGAATTGCTACAAATATTCTGAAAAAACATATCATTTTAAAGCTCAAAAGCGGATGGTATAGGGCACAGGCAACCCAGCCTGGTCACGTACGCGACCTGAATTAGTCTGCTGCCAAGCTACCATAATCTGGTGATAAGCCGTTTGAGGATTTATAGACCATTTCTGCTTTGAGAATCTGACGTCGAGTCTCTAGGTTCTCCCAATTTAGTTTTTTTAGTAACTGAAGATCGTCAGCATCATAGTTGGAGAAGGTGAGTATACACAAGCTGCACGATTTCGGAGTTTTTGTAACTTATTACTTTTAGGTAATACTTTACTACAGCTACCCCATACAACACTACACAACAACAACAACATAAGCTTTATTTGCATGACTATAATTATGTATTTACAGTATTACAATTTATAACAATGATAATGCAATGCAATGATTACCACAGTCAATCAAGTTTCTGCAGCATGATTTGATAACAAATTAGTGCGTAAATCATTACATAATGAGACAAATTTCAACAAATGTGAATTTACGGAAAAATTCTGTGAATTCATCAATATAATTATTCATTCTGTGTAAGATAGCTGATTAAAGTCGACAAAAGTTTGTTGGATTTGATTGTACAATTTCTCCCTAGGGATTGAATATTTGGACAATGGAAGAGAAAATGAAATTCGTCTTCAATTATACCAGAGTTACAAATAGGGCAGAATCTATCGTTGCGGGAAGTTTGATTGTATCTTCCAGTTTAAATCATAAGTTTTTGGTTACTTATACGAATTTTCACTAAGTGGTTGAATTTCTAATTAAGTCTAGATAACTTGAAATTTTATAATCATGTTTAAATAAGCTGTAAACTGCAGTTTCTTAGAATGATGGATTGTATGTTGCCAATATGTAATATATTTTTGTTTTATTATATCCGTATAGTGTCTGATCTTAGCTTCACTCAAATTATTAGGATCAAAATCGGGCAGGTCATAATATTCAGATATTTTCAGAATACGGTAAAAGCTATTTTTACCATTACAGTGAAGTTCTGGCGAGGTACGAAAGGCTCGGTTTAAAAATAGTATCCTCGTTTTTACGCAGAAGATACAATACGTAATAAAGGATGTTTTTGTAAATTTTTAAAAATTAATGGAAATCGTCCTAATTCACTTCTACTTGCAACAGAATCGAAAAGTCCAGTCTGAGGGTAGGATCCTGAATCAAGGTTTTGCTGCACTTGTTACAGGTCTTACAGCTCTTCTCTACTGTAAAAAATTTGCGTGAAATCCGACATGGTTACGATTGAAAGGTTAATTTATTGTAAAATCGAGACGAGCGATTCCTTCTATGAGAAATACTAGCGTAAGTACACGCAGTTCAAATTTAAGTGTTACCCTGAGATTGCTGCAAAAATTGATCATGGGCATTGCGGATCTCAAAAAGCGCTCTATTAAGCACACGTATATAATGTTCCTCGAGATCGCTTGTCAGCGGACTTTTAAAGGCTTGCAGGATCAAGCCAAGGATCCTAAATAAGTTGTTTGTTGATTGAGTAGGATTTCTTAGCTTTTTCCTAGCATGAGTATTGCCCCCAGTTGTCTCTTTCTTAGTACTCTCTACTTCTCTATACTTATTATCTACGGGGCGTTTTACACCACGCGGGGTTGCTCCTGTTGAATTCTCAGTGCCACCGTTTTGGACAGTAGCTGTATCTTGGCCTGAAAAGGCTTGTTCAATCCCCACTTGCTCGTTTTCGAGCAGCACAGAGTCATACGATTCCATCTTGGTTCCCAGACTGAGGGTTCTCTGAAACTGCATGTCAGGCTGATTTTTCACTTTTGTTTGATCAGAGGGTGTGTTGTGAATACTTGGGGCATCTTGTAGTGTTCTTAGCTCCAGTTCACCAGTAAATTGTGAGGGAGAAAACAGCTGGCCATCACCTTCATCAAGGATACTGAGCAGATCGTTCTCTGATAAGCTGGAAGAGATTGGGTTGTTTTCATCGCCCAGAATGCTTAAGATGTCTGTTAGATCCTGATCCCATAAACTAGCCGCACTTTGCCCTACTGCAGTTATCTCCATCTCTGTGTTTTGAGCGATGCATCTGGTGATTTCAATGAATATATAAACACGTTAACTGGAAGATTCCTATTCTGCGTACTGGGGCAGGCGCCAGTTTTTTTAGGGCGAAGGAAAATTCTCGAGGACGCTCGGCCTGTAATAAGATGATTATCGGCGCCTGCTGCGTTGGCAGAAGTTCCCGAACACGGAAAGATAAATGATTGTCTTTATCGTGATATATTATCCCTCTTAGCTGAAGCTCGTAGACTCACAACACTAGGGCAATGTTATGACTTTACTTTATCATCAATAAATCAATTTGTTGATTGTTGTTTGGCATTTTAAATATAATCCGTTGGCAATGCCCGCTTAAAAAACTACAGACATTTTGGGCGTCGACCTCAACTGTAGATTGCGAAACTTCGGAAGTCGCAGTTTACTCAGACGCATGTACTAACAGCCAGTACCATAGTTCACCCGAGCATCGCTGGTTGTGTAGAATAAATTATAAGGGTTTGTGTGGAAAGTTTAGTGCGTCCTTATGGTCCCTATGTAATACTTATTGCACGTTTTTGGTGTTTTTTACAGTCTCAGAGCGATCCCAGCGAGTTTTAATTGACTTTGCCCTTCTTTGGCACCGACTTACTTGTGACCTTGGGCTACCTCTGGAAATGGTCGCGTGTCTTGACGCATTGTGATACAGCTATGCGGAAAGTTGAATATCCCCGGCGATAATGGTTTTCTGCTATAAATTAGTTATTGAATCAGAATTTTCGGATGCACTGCAGGTATACAGAGGACAGGTATACCAACATAATTGTTTTTCGACTAAAAGCAATAGTAATAAGAGTCGTGAATCCCTTCGTAGCAAAAAGACCTGCATGTCGTCGTATAAGTTTGATGAATGCATGATACCTTCAGAACTTTTCTTAAAATACCTAGCCTCACCTTGATTTAGGCCCACTTCCATGCATCTTTGTCTTTCTAGTTTCGTTATTCATAGTCTGTAACTTCAGATTTATACAACCCGGGAGCACACAATCCGGTCTCGTACATGGGACGTGCACGGTAGGCTGGCGTATCGTAGCAGGGGAATCCCGCGGGAACCGTGGTTGCATGTTCTTTCTATTTGTCGCGGAGAAGATACTCCCTATAAAATCCAACTATTTTGAGATTAGATTTACAGTACGAAGAACGCAATTAGATCTTTTTAAATGTTAACATCCCCAGTTATAGGACGTACTGCACTTAATGTCCCTGGGCTATGAAAAGATCCATTCTATCTTCATTTTACTTCTAGTTACAACCAAGTAAACAAACTTACATCAGATTAACAAAAACTCATGATCATCACCCTTTAAATAGACCTTTAATCAGTTTGTTACCAATTTTTAAAATTTTGATGTGAGGCGACTGAATGCCGTCAATTAATGGCTTTAAAAACTTTGATATGATATCATAAAATCTGACGAGTAAAAAGCTGCAAAGGCAATTTAAGTTATTACAAACTTACCTAGCTCTATGACGTCCTCTTTCTTCGATAGTGTGCACTAGCTCAAAACAGAATTTCCCTTAAATGAAGAAACTGCAGTTTTTATGTTCAAGTTTATTGTTCTAGCGTTTTCGTTCAACAAAGGAATTTTTTGTTTATTTGTTAACTTGTTTATTTAACCTTTGTTCATTCTTCCTTATTCAAATCATGACGGAGCATAAAGCTCTTTCTTCAACTTTTCTTAATTCTTCCACGCGTGCGTACATCTTCAAAATCTCACGGTATGCCCCTGTAACTTCGACCGAAATTGATGACTTGAGCTACTAAAACCTGCAATAGGATCTGACTTCGAAACTGAGCTTCAGAGTCTTGAATCTGAAAATGAGGACCCCCTTAAAGGACTGACATCTGTTCTAAAGTTACTTCTCGAGGAACTGTAGTTTCATTCCTGATTTAAAGAGGTTTACACTTGGCTAAATTTGAACAAGTGTGTAGTTGAAAGTGACAGAGGCTCTCTTTTGTTGTTCCTTTTTTTAATAGGCTGTTTAGATAATCTAATCGTTTACGGGTTTGAAAATAAGGGAATTTTCTTTTGTTCGCTCTCTCTCCCTGCCCCTACCCCGTTACTTTTTTTGATGCTGTCCCCTTCAACTGAACGCTTGGAACAGGCTAGTGCAGCTAGGACAAACACAAAATGTTAGTTTATAACCAATTATTAAATGTTTCCGTACCAGTCGTTTAGAGTCGTTATTCCAAGGAGATAAAGGGATCAGGAGGCCACTTACACTCAAGCCAAGTCAAGCGTACCCCCCAAGATTCAATAAATGTATTTATTTTCCAAAGCTGAATCCGTTGCTAGTTGTAGATTTCAGATTAATCTCTATATTCTTGCACGCGTAATGAGCCGTGAATTCACACGCAGGGCAGTTAAGAAATTTTTTCTAGCTTAGCCCTGAATTTATGTAAGGTAGATAGGTAAAACTTTATTTCAACAGGGTGCATAATTACAGCCGCCCTGTCGTCTTCCTTATGGCCATATCAAAATTATCAAAATCCTAAAATCCTTAAAATTAACATAGCGCGCGTGTGGCCTATATAAGTCATATTGAGCCGCTATGAACAACGTGCGTGAATAAAGATTTTTTTCATGATGACGTGTTCAGCTGTATTTTTCGTCTCGGCTTTATCCTAAGTACTAAGTACCCAAAAATCTACGGCAATGATGAAAAACTTTCTAGCATTTTTGGAATTTAGCTCACGGTGGGGCCAAACCACCCCTACCCTGGGTTCCAGAGGATATTTTTTTCTTATCGATACTGATGGTTCGCGGCGAAGCCTCGTTAATAAGAAAAAAATATCCTCTGGAACCCAGGGTAAACCACCCCCAAATGGATAATCAAAACGTGACAATTTCGAATAATTTAAAATAACTTTGCTTGCTTTCACTCTTTCCCAACCAAACTTGGCCTGAAAAGACGAAACATCAGGCCAATCAAAATCGTTCATAGGATGACACCAAATTTCAAATTATTACGTCATATTTGCTTACGTCATTCATACGTAAATTTTAAACTTCTGAATCTCCCCCATTTTTATATTGTTTTTGAAAGAACTATTCAAGGGAAGTTGAAAGCTGAAAAAATTTTTTCAGTATCTCAAATATGAGCTGAGATATGACATTCTGAATTTGGATAAATTCGGAGCACAAAAACGGGGTACGCCCTTTTAAAATAATTCTTAATTTTAGAGTTTTTTTAGCCTGCGTAGCAAGCGTTTCTGTGCGGTTAGGAGCAAAGAATGAGGATCAAGAGTCAAAGACCGCGCGAAAAATGATGCAAGTCAAAACCGAAAGTCCCCTTTTGCTCCGAAACCAAACGGAAACGCTTGCTACGCCGGCTAGAGTTTTGTTGTCGAGTCACCCTTGCTCAAGTTACACGTAACACACCTTTACTGTCGTCAGCCTTTGTGACGTCACAATTTAACATTTTGCGTCAAACAGAAACTTAATATCATTTGGTCAGCAATCGTAGTCTATCTAGAAAGTTTGGTCGAGAAATAAAAAGAAATGTAAAAAATACGTAAATTTAGCCTGGTATCATCCACCCTCAAGCACCCTCCTAGCGTTGATCGGCGCTAGCGCTTTTGCTTTAAATAAATACCACCATAAACCGTACATTTTCTGAAATCTTAATAGTTTCAGATTATTGCTTATTCCTTTTAAAAAATCAAAATATTAACGCGATTTAGAAATGAGAAGCTTTTTGTAAAAGTGGGTGTCCCTGTAAAATTAAGTCCAGGCCAGCCAAAACTAGGCCAATTAAGATTGCATTCGCTCCTTAACACGTTTGACTAATCAAAGAAAGACTATCGTCAACTCGTGGGTGCGTTGTTTACAAAATAATCAACCAGTTTTCACCTCTGGTTTTCCCACAGTAAATTTTAGGAAATGATAGAAATTCAGATTATAAATATGCTATCCTTGTTCTGGAAACACAATACTTTTCTTGCTCTTTATTGCACTTTATTTATTTAGCGATATATTTAAAAACAAACAAAAACAAAAAACAGCAAAACAAAGAAGCAAAACAAATAAGCAAACAAAACAAAACAAGAAAGAAAAAAAAAGGAAGAAGGAAAAAAGCAGTTCCTTAGCAGAATATGAACCCGGTTCCGTTGGGCATTAATGGCTTTAAAAACTTTGATATGATATCATAAAATCTGACGAGTAAAACGCTGCAAAGGCAGTTTAAGTTATTACAAACTTACCTAGCTCTAGGACGTCCTCTTTCTCCGATAGTGTGCACAAGCTCAAAACAAAATTTCCCGTGAATGAAGAAACTCCAGTTTTTATGTACAAGTTTATTTTTCTGGGAATTTTCGCGGCTCGACAATTCAAAGAAATTATTTTGTTACTTGACATGTTTATTTAACCTTCAAATCTCTTCTTGCCCGACCAACCAAGAGAACATAAAGCTCTCTCTTGGATAGGCTCGATTAGGGACGGACCATTAGAAAAGTTGTGGGGGGTCGGAATTTTCAAGCCGCAGGAATTTTTTTTTCGTCATTAAATTCCTTGTATGAATTTTTTTTAGGCCATAGCATGAATATTTTTTTAGGATTGCTTGGCGTGCATGGATTTTTTTTCATTTAATTTTCCCTTGCGGGAATATTTTTTTTTGTACTTCGCCCGCCCCCCCACCCATTCTTTTTCTAATGGCGCGACGGAAGTCGAGGCTATCTTTTGGACAACGGTATAGTTTTTTTAAAATCATTTGTATGAGTGAGAGATCGAGAACACACATCCACTTCGTACGAGAGCAAAGTTTATTCTTCTTAGAACTAAACACGTGTTGGTACAAATCACGTGATCTTGTTACAAAGTTCAACCAATCATAACATCATCAACAATTTTTCTTTATCGTATTCAATATCAGTTACCTTCCATGGTTAATCTTTTTTACCGCAGGAGGATCCTCAAGACTTAGCTTAGAGATCGGCGAGGTCGGTCATTTGAAATGACCGTTTGCGCAATGTAAAACCAAAGACGTGTTGACAACTCATAGAATACGATCCTCTCTAAATCATCACGACTGGTTGTTTCATTTTATTCTCAAGTCATCGCTTGAAGCTTGACTTGTCATCGGGACGGTGTCCTGATTATGCGCACGCGCGAGCGTCATCTGTTTTTTCTTCAGAAGACAATAGAACTGTCATATTGACTCGACAAGATTTCCTTCCGGACCCACCACCCACCCACCCACATCCATATCAAGTTACGTCTGAAGGACCTGTAGTTTCATTCCTGATAAAGAGATTTACACCTGACTAAACTGAATTTGAACGAGTGTTTTCTTGAAAGTGACAGAGGCTCTCTATTCTTGCTGTTCCTTGATTTTACATAGGCTGTTTAGATAATGTAATTGTTAGATGGGTTTGAGTATAGGGGAATTTTCTTTCTTAGTTCACTCTCTCTCCCTGCCTCTACCCCGTCATTTGACTCAAGCCAGGTCAACCGTACCCCTCAAGTTCCTTAAATGAATTTCGAAAGTGGAATCCGTAGTTAGATGTAGATTTCAGATTTATCTCTGTATGCTTGCAGGCGTATTGAGCCGTGAATTCACACGCGGGCAGTTATGAAATTTCTTTCAGCTCAGTTTATCTGAATTTGATGTAAATTTATTCAAAGATTTTCGATCTGACC